ATAATCAGTCCAAATATGTGTCGACAGTCCAGGAAATTGAGATGATGTCACACATGAGTGATTTCACGGTGTTCCCGAGACTAACAAAGCAATTAACAACAGAGTGCGGGATATGTAGTACACATTATATTAATTTATTCAGTCAATATAACAACATGCATATATATCATATGGCCAACATATTTTCATACAATATCACACAAAAAGTAAAATGTGAGAAATGGATCATTCATAAAGTCCATTCATAAAGTCCATCCATTTGAATGTTTAGCCAAATTAGCCAAGATACAGCAGCTCTGACACATGGTCTGTGTAGTTTAACTCGGTAAGTCTATCGGCAAGAAGATCGGCCTTCAAGGATCGAATCCGAGCATCGATGATGCATCGTCTGACCTGTAGTCTGTCGCAAGGCCTAGCTTCTGTGTGCGACGCCATGGAGCTTTGACTTGAACGTATCAACTTCAGTCAGAAAAGGGATAGCAGGGTGGTTGTGACCTTGACCGACCGCATTCAGCACGTTGTATTGTGTCACCAGGTACGATGGGCAGTGGGCATCTGTACATCTCCAGTATGTTTTCTGAGCTCTGCGTCTTTTGGCTCTGTACTTAAATCCATTGTGGTAAAGATTCTGACCTCCATTACTGTTGTCTATCAGTGTAACATGCACCATAGCATTTGCCATTTTGACAATGGTGACCACATTTTAATGATCTGTTATATATACCCAAATGCTAAATGTTTCAAACAGCATTCCGATAATCCTTCTACTCCTATTATCACATGAAATAATTACTAAATTTTCTTTTCTGTTTCCGTTTTTTTCTCCTTCTACTCCGGATATTTAATTACATTCTTTTCATGTTAATACCCAAAAGATTAATTTTCCTACTCACATAAGTCAAATATAGTCTTACTTTTCTTAACAATTATTTAAGAAAAATATTCTCTTTAACTTAATCCCTTTACTCATTTTACGAGACAATAGCCATCAGTAATCACTAAGAAAGCATTCTCATCAGTTAATTAACATTGTCACGGTTAAGTGACCATACCATGGCGACAGGCCGGGTAATTTCTTTTGTCGACGGTTAGCAAAAACATATTTTTCATGTGTCGACAGATCGGGCTGACACCTAAGGTTTAGTGGTCAAGCATCACGCTAGAAACCTGTGTTTGTGGGTTCGAATCCCGGTTCGCCCCGATTATGTTTCTAGTTTTGTCAGCACCATACCCGTGCTCGTGTGGTAAACTGGAACCTGCATCACTTCGGGCTTTCCTCTTCAAAGCGGCGTTAAAACCTACTCACCCACTCCCATCTCTCGAATCTGTATATTCCGGAACAGATTCGAGTGATGTCTTCTTCACGTATTGGAGCATTGCATTGAAGTAATGATGGTCGCCGCATGGATGGAACAGGTGGATTTGGAGGTCTCGGCGTCGTTATGTATTATGTTAGACAGACGTTAGATGGGAACTAAAAGCAATCATGCTGTCATATGTTGAGATAACACTGCCTTAAATGATAAATATAGAATCCTTGAATGATAAATGTTGGCAGCGTAATTGTACACCAGTAGTTTAATGCCAGGGGTTTCGTTTTATTACATCCTTACGTCAGACTGACATGATATATTCTAAACAACTATTACAGGAAGTTGATTGATAGCCTTGTGTCGAACTGTAGGTTCAATGTGTCAGTTCCAAAGTCACTGTAACCTAGGCAGGTTTCATATGTGATGTTATGGGCTGCAGAGGAAGTAATTTCATGTGTTCTGACATATGCACACTCTTACAGACACAATTTATTGTTGTTGTTCATGTGTGCATGTTAGTTATGTACGGACGTTATTTTAGAAAGGTAAATAAGCTGTTTAATTCATACCAGCATTATCATAATAGGGGACACCAAGACAGCGGACTTCCCACATTGTTTTCAGTAATTATGACATCTCATATTTTCATAATCCTACAAAGTGTATATAGATAATAGAAAATAATTCATTTACTATTTCACGTTATGATAATTGGCGGGCGCAAATACATTACACATAGTGGATGTTTGTTGCCCGTATTATTGCAAGAATATGTTTCATAGTTCAAACTGATATTGTATGTGTTTAAACTAGCTAAAGCCTCAATATTATATGCTTGCATATATACATAGAGAGGGTAAAAGTGTCAGTACCGAATGCCTGGGTTTGATTCTATATACTACAGTACAATGGACGAACACACTGAGATATTGCTGGAATATCGCTAACGTTTTGTGTACCTTGCTCTCTCACTCGGAACAAATTCTTGGATTCGACCAAGAAGCAGCTGATCGTGGCCATCTGTGTTTCTCCTGTGTTCTGAGTAAACATGCCCTACAACTCTCGTACTTTTAGGCCTATAGTAGTAGCAAATACTCTATAGGCCATACATATTCTGTGTACGATGTGATATATGGTGCTTAGTATGCACTGTGGTACTAAGTTCTTCCTTGTTATGGATCATCTGGCAGCCTATAGACGTAGACATTCCAATCACACAAGCGCATGCAACATATTAGGAAAGGATTGTTAAGAAAATATAGGTCATAAGAGACACCGGAAGTCTTTATAATTTCAGATGAAATCTTATATCACCATGTTTTGGCCAATATATTATTTAATTTGCTGTTTTTGAGAAAGATTAACTGTTGTAGTCATGTCCAATGTGAGAATATGTCATACATGATGTTCCATGTTGATGTGATGAGGACAACTATCGGCCCCAAGGAAATGAAAATGTTGTGATATTGATTTTAGAAATGGTTGCAGCCAAACTGAAAGGATATTAAATATTGACAATAAAATATTGATCTTTCTCCAAGCAGTGTGGAACGAGTACCTTGGTGACACGGTCGTAGGACGAGAACATTTGAAATATGACTTATTGGAAAATAGCCATAACCATGTTATTTTTATAAAGATAAACAACTTCAAAACAAGTCATTCTTTAACGTTGATAGGTTGATTGCCAGCACTTCTTCTTGAAATACGACAAGCGTTAATTTGAACGTTTTCAGCTTCTGTTTCTGTGCGTCGTGTTTAGATTATGTGTCTCGAGGCATGTTAAGAGGCATAGATTATTGATACAAAACATTCAAGTTGCATTAATGAGACAATGAGAATATATATTTTCCCAGAGAAATTTCCTTACTAGGATTAGGAAAAGGTGTTATAGACAGTGTTCTGATACAGTTGGAGGAGTTCACAGGAACTCGCTGTCAACATGGGTACGTTGCTCACATAGGTACGTCAAACGAGTTGGTGCGGAGTACACATAGGTACGTCAAACATGTTGGTGCGGAGTACACATAGGTACGTCAAACGTGTTGGTGCGGAGTACACATAGGTTCGTCAAACGTGTTGGTGCGGAGTACACATAGGTACGTCAAACATGTTGGTGCGGAGTACACAAAGGTAAGTCAAACATGATGGTGCGGAGTACACATAGGTACGTCAAACGTGTTGGTGCGGAGTACACATAGGTACGTCAAACGTGTTGGTGCTGCGTACACATGGGTACGTCAAACGTGTTGGTGCGGAGTACACATAGGTACGTCAAACGTGTTGGTGCTGAGCACGCATAGGTACGTCAAACGTGTTGGAGCGGAGTACACATAGGTACGTCAAACGCGTTGGTGCGGAGTACACATAGGTACGTCAAACATGTTGGTGCGGAGTACACATAGGTACGTCAAACGCGTTGGTGCGGAGTACACATAGGTACGTCAAACGTGTTGGTGCGGAGTACACATAGGTACGTCAAACGCGTTGGTGCGGAGTACACATAGGTACGTCAAACGTGTTGGTGCGGAGTACACATAGGTACGTCAAACGTGTTGGTGCGGAGCATACATAGGTACGTCAAACGCGTTGGTGCGGAGTACACATAGGTACGTCAAACGTGTTGGTGCGGAGTACACATAGGTACGTCAAACATGTTGGTGCGGAGTACACATAGGTACGTCAAACGTGTTGCTGCGGAGTACACATACACGTAGGTACGTCAAACATGTTGGTGCGGAGTACACATAGGTACGTCAAACGTGTTGGTGCGGAGTACACATTGGTACGTCAAACGTGTTGGTGCGGAGTACACATAGATACGTCCTATTTAATGGTCTGTCGTACACATAAGTACATCCTACGAGTTGGTACGTTCCATATAGGTAGACACCCACGTGGGAACCTGGTCATACAGATACGTCCTACAAATCGTCACGTGATCAAGCCGGGTGTACAGAGATACAGTGTCGTCATGGGTACGCTACCCACGAGGTAACGTTCTCCATATGGATACAATGTGCACTGGGGTACCTGGGTTCTGACACGCGATCCTGTGTACTCCCCAGGGATCCGAGGATGAAAATCGAGCGCACTCTGATCCATTGACCGGGCTAATAATGTAGATATGTCATGGTCTTAGCGTATTTGAGCATTTATAAATATGAAAGTGCGCTGTACAAATGCATAATTTAATTTAAATAATTTAATGCTGCTCACATGGTCCACTTGAGTACTCTCCCCCGATGTAATCACCGTCAACGACTACAACCATGATTAATCCATAATAACAGCCGCCTTACCCCCCACGTATATATTGTTGGACTACTCAGTTCCCATTCCACCATGCACACGCATCACTTAGCTGCACTTATAATGACATAAACTGGTGAATATCGGTTAATGCACCGTGATACCGTAGCCATATTAAGACCTACTTGTGTCACCCTACACTTGTATACATGGAATGCTGGAAGGAACACCGGTGTTCGCGAAATGTGCTGCTGTAGCACTGTTCCACTGAATAGTAATGTGACAATATTTTGAGCATTTTGAAGATATGGCTTATAAACAGATAATTGTTGCGTTCATTATTTATTTATAACCGCACTGCTTAATATAACCCATTTGTATCTGGTACTGATCGATAAGTACACATACATCATTTCCATTTTTCTATTTTCCCAGGTTCCTGTATCTACACAGTCTTCCTCAGGCGGGTTGTTCGTCGACCCAGAATTCCCCCCTAACTTAAAATCAGTCTTCCGAAAAAAGAAAATAGAAAAGAAGATTACTTGGAAACGTCCATCGGTACGTCATAATTACATACTCTACATTCAAATATATGTTTATTGACCAAATATAATGTCACTTTACCGGATACAGAATCATTCATAAATATAACATGGGCTTTAAAATTGCTGTTGTTGCTTTAAATTGGATTAAGATTCAAATATATACATGGAATTATTTTTAGACTGACAAGATTCACATTCACGATTATTTCCAGGAACTTTCTAGAAAGCCGTCTTTGATAGCCGATGGCACGAGCCGCCATGACATGAAGCAGGGTGACCTGAACGACTGCTGGTTCCTCTCAACTCTGTCTGCCATTGCAGAGAAACCACAGCTCATGGCCAAGGTAAGTGTAGCACATAGCAACACCTTTAGGAGAAACCACAGCTCATGGCCAAGGTAAGTGTAGCACATAGCAACACCTTTAGGAGAAACCACAGCTCATGGTCAAGGTAAGAGTAGCACATAGCAACACCTTCAGGAGAAACCACAGCTCATTGCCAAGGTAAGTGTAGCACATGGCAACACCTTTAGGAGAAACCACAGCTCATGGCCAAGGTAAGTGTAGCACATAACAACACCTTTAGGAGAAACAACAGCTCATTGCCAAGGTAAGTGTAGCACATAGCAACACCTTTAGGAGAAACCACAGCTCATGGACAAGGTCGGTGTCGCACATGGCAACAGATCTATGAGAAATCACAGCTCACAAGGGTTGAATCATACGTTCTGAGCCTCACATAGAAGGAGCCGCGTAATAGTGAAATCGTTTGTTGCATGATATCAAAGAGGCATATTTACATATTGACCTTAGTCAGTAGAGCAAATTGTTCTACTGTGACAAGTCAGTAAAATAAGCAGGGATCTGTGACTTTTGGAAAAAAATGACAAACAACAATCAATGAAGGTATGAGTACACCACTAGGGAAGAGTGTCCTTTCCTGTGCCAACGTTGAGATCGGCAGAAATGTAGCAACGTGGCAGTGAAAGGCTTGATAATGGCCCCAGTCCTGGAAGGCCTGTGACGTCAGCAACGCCAGAAATGATCCAGACAACCAACGATATGGCGAGTGACTGAGTGTCACAGTGTTAGTTCAGCAGGCATTTTCAAAAAGAGATTATGAAGAAATGAAGAAATTATCAGCTCGTTTTGTTTCAAAGCTTCTGACATCTGATGAAGACCGCAACAACCAACATGTCTAGAGATAATCTAGGTATTTTTGAAGCTGATCCAGAAAGGTTCTGCCAACGATTTGTGTCTATGGATAACACCCCGATTCACCTCTTCCAACATGATCAAAACAGTGAAAGCATTCGACATCACCATTACCAAAGAAGGTAAATACCCATCAGCTGGAAAGATTATAGGATCCCGAGGGTGTCAGCATGGGACTATCGCCTACAAGGCCAGACAATAAACGAAGCATATTATGTTCCTCTTTGGTGCAAATAAGACTACGGGGAGACGTGGGAACCTGAGAAAAGGTGTGCTCTTTCATCAGGCCAATGCAATCAGTCATTGCCGAGGCTACAATCCACGAGTGTGGCTTTAAACCTCTTCAGCACCAGACCTTATTTTTGTTATCAGCCTCCGCCAGACTTCCATCTGTTACCAAACACGAAACATGCTCCAGCTGGAACCCCCTCGACTCGAACGATGACGTCATAGCAGGTGGGGAGAACGTTTTGGAGCTTAGAGAAAGACTCCTATGAAACTGAGATAAAATCCCACCAACATCGTTGGCAATAGTGTATCTTTAGGTCAAAACCTCATATGAGAGGCTCAGGATTTATCAATCGCCCCTCGTAAGTGTCCACTTTACTTTATGCTTCAAATGTGTCCAGAGCATTCTCACACAATGTGTAATGAGCATTCAAATTGTTTGGCCAAATGGTAATTTTGATTAAAATTGGATTAAATCAAAATGAATCTTTAGAAATCATATTGGGTTTCACCCAAATTAGAATCAAAACGCCCAAATCGTTAAAGCAAACTTGCAGAACATGGAAATAGCAAAAATAAAATAAAATAAAATGCTTTCATCATTTCATGTAAACAAGTTATCGCATTGATTTCTTGTCGACGTGAGATCGTGCCAACAACGTCTTTCATTCAATAATTCAGACAGCACTATTCTTGAACGAGAGCCGTAGTAACGAGTGAGTGAATAGGGTTTAGGTTCACTTTTAACAAACACGCATTTCGCGGCGGGAGGCACCGAGAGTTTGCTTACCACACTGTATTCATAAGTGGAATTTATTGTTTGGTTGCATGCTAGTAGATATTTGAATACTTGTTTTTAGTTATGAACAGAAACAAACTAGAGTCAGGTTTTTAGATATACAATGCTAGCATAGTACATGAAAGTTTGGTTCACTTTAAATATACTTGACGTATGAAGCTGGCATGTGGCGTAGCTGGCACATAACATGGTTGAAATGACTCGGACATATCCACGCTGGTCATTTGACGTAGTTGACCTATTGCATTGTCGACACAATACAGTGTTACTGTGGACTGAAACATGATGTGACTGATGCTTCATTGAAAATAAAAACGCCAAAGCAGTTTCCATATTCATAAGCTATCTCTGCCGAAAACAGTCTATTGTACCATTCCAACTACATGTGTATTTGTTTATGAATCACAATAAAATAGTGTTGATATTTATGTGTTCGCGAAAAGTTTAGCGTATCCTGCCCCGCAGGTGGCACCCGTCACAAACACATGCAAAGGCAAGTTAATTGTTCACCTGAAATCACCCGGGACATAAGGTACAAGTCAAAATAGGGAATTGAATCGGACATAATTTTTGTCACTGATCGTCAAATTCGGTAGTGTCCTTCACATGTGTACCATAAATCTTCATGAAAACATTACGGAGGCCTTGAATTGTGCTGCAGCCTTGATCAAACAACTGCATAAATGTCGCATGATGGACGCACAATGTGTGGAGGGTTGCCATGTGTCTTGTAGGATGTCCTTTATACAACAAAGTCAAGCACGTTTGTACGTACAGACTATATGGTGTTCTTCAAGACGAATGGATTGCCGAAATTTGAAGTTAATGCCTTTGTTGGAGCATCTCGGGGTCATTAAGTAATATAAACTTAAACTATATTTCGCGAGAAAGCTGAGCGACATCTTACTCTAAATACAAGCGACAAAACCATTTTCACCATCACCAGAAGTGTTTACTGAAAACAGAGTCCATTGTACGATTCCGACTTCGTCACGAATATGTTTATGAATCACTATGAAATAGTGCCGATACCAAGTGTTCGTGAAAAGGTGTGCGCATCCAGCCCCACTGGTGGCATTCTGCACAAACACATGGAAAGGCAAGTCAACTGTTCAACTGTAAAGAAGACGGGAACATATGCTCAAATATAGGGAATTGTTTCACACAATGATTTTGGCATGAATACGTCAAATTTGGAAATGTCTGGCATAAAGTATGATTAGATGAAACGCTTATTCATTCATTTTTTTTATCAAAGAATTAACTCTTACACACAGTGAAGCCTATAGCTGGTTCGGACACCGACAGTCCGTAAACCGTGCCTGTCGGATGATTTTTCTGCGAACGTCTTCAAAAGAGCATTACCCGTATCCATGATTCGTTAATCGGTATATTTGATAATGCGGGCGATTTTCTTTCCACTGTTACCAAAACTAAAGCACAACATGGATGCCAATTTCACCTTAATGTGGGGGATGCACTGCTATATTTACGTACACATGACCATTACCAGGGACATAATCAATACAGACCCCTTCGGCAAGGAGACCTTCTCTCTACTGTATTATTGATATTTTGGCCTCCCACGAAGTTGCATGATTGGACAAGGCACGCACAGGGAGATGCTGTACACCTACTTGTTTGTCAAAGAGATGATGGTAGTTGGTAAAAAAAAAAAAATTGTTATGTATAACGTGTAAATCCTGCACGACAAGATAGTCTTGTGTTGTGAAGTCAATGTAAATGCCATTAAAATATCAGTGTTTAGTGAATCACTACCTTTTTAAATACTTTTTTATTACTTCTTTTTCTTCTTAAAGGCCGCTTATATATGCTATGATAGAGTTTTGTTTGTTGTATGATGTTTAACGCCACACTCAGCAATATTCCAGCTTTATGACGCCATTCTGTAAATAACTGAGTCTGGACCAGACAATCCAGTGATTAACATCATGTGAGCATCGATCTACGTAATTGGGATCAGCGAGTATGACCACCCATACCCATTAATCACCTCTTACGACAATCATGGGTTGCAGAAGCATAACAGAGAGCTCGTGGCACGTGTCATTATCATTATTTATTTAAAATATCTATTTCAATTTCATTTACAGACCGGGAATGGTTTACTCACATGTTATTCTACAAATGCTCGGCAAAGACATTAACGGCAACAATATACTCGCTAGATCAACAGAATGGTATCTCATACAAAGATGTGCCATCAGATAAATCATTACTGGGTTGGGGAAATATGAAATACCAAAACACTGCCATTCGCCTTCCGTGTCCTCACTTTGAGAAATCTACATAAACGTGTGCCTAATCCTGTTTGTAAATTCAAATGATAAATGATAAAACGGCGTTTCTTTAGGCTTCCATCCCACATTAAACAAACACCCACGGAATGTAACTAGTTCAGCGGTAATTCCCCCTCATCCTGGCTGTAACAGATTGTCTCAGAAACACAAGAGTTGGGACAGATCATTGCGTTATCATCCACTGGTTTCAGCATCAAGGACCAGAGTAGCACGCCATTCATTCATGAGCTCACACAATGGCTTAGTTAGACTATTCCATGTTGTGGTTATTCACCCTAATGATACTGGGAAAAGGTCACATGGGATACATGTCTCATAATAAGCTGTAGTTTTGAATCCATTATTGTAAAGCATCCTTCCGAGGAGATTAGTTATGACCAAGAACTTGACAAACGATTAGAAGATAATAGGCAGGTCAGCCTCATCCACTCCATTTATCTTTTCCTCCATCTACATGACTATTGGACAACTACCTCCCCTGTATTACCCGATTTCTCTATCGCTTTATCATTAAGCCATCTGACATTTGGAGTGCTTTATATTTCATATGAAGTGATGGCACTTAAAACACAAACCAGTCAGAAAGCGATGACATTTTAACGATAATAACCCTCATGTGATATTGCGTTAAATGTCAGAGGGCCATGACATGATCATACAGGTAACTGGCAAGAGTCCTCTCAATGTTAAAGGATGTGGACTTAAACAATCCGCCATACTCAAAGCAAAACCGCCCCAGAAGTTGTTTTACATAATTTAGTAATCAAAGTTAACACACAAGATCCATAGTGCAAATAAAAGCGACAATAACAGTATACGATTCCAACTGCATAAATAAACTAACATGATGAACAAAGAGACTAAAACAAGACAGACGTTCAAGTACAGTACAATCATTTAAGAGACGGATGCTTGATGTGATAAAAGATCGCTGGCCAGAAGGTAGAAGTGCATACCCTTTGTTAAAAATGGTCGGGATCAGTTAAAATTTTCAGTGATAATTTGAGAACATACGAAGAATAACTGACAATGGTTATTATTGTCAACAAAAGAGAGTGACATGTGGTAGCAGTATGATGCATCTTGCCAGCCATTAGCAGTGGAATTAACATCACAACCTTCAAAGTCCACGTTCTGCAACACCTTCCTTTCATTGAACAACTTTGATGGTGCTCGTATAGGAAACATTTTAAAGCAATGTCAAGAACTATAATTGCTACTCGATACTGATGACTCTTTCTGTTGGTCGACCCATCCATCTACAAATGATGCTCGAGTCGTTTGATTTCTTATAACAACACAAAATATAGTCTGGATTTTAGAGGAGATTGGCAACAGATCTGCCTAATCAGTGATATGAGTTGGCCTTCTTCCTTTCTTGTGACCATGGCTCCGGCATCGTCTTTGGGATACCGGAAACAGACTCAGTTTATTGACGTTTGCAGATTCTTGCATTGAAAGATGGCCAATGCCGTATATTTTCTCTGGACATCCTTTAATGTCGACTGCATCTAATGCCACTAAAGGGATAGTATATTTGCTCTGATAACTTTCATGCAAAGAATGGAGTGATGTTTAGTCTTGAAACGTTGGTAGACACAATTGGTAACAAGGAATAAAACATTACATCAGTCACTAGCTTCCCGCCTCTCCTTTAGTCTCATACTGTATTAATCAGGTATAAATCAATTATATAATTGTGATAAAAGTCAGAAGGATTTATTGTTTTGCTCTCCACAGTTTGTCCGGGTAGTGTAGTGACGTCTTGCACTTTAACAGTCACTGCATATTTCACATCTATCTAAAAAAACACAGTGGAACAACTGACTGGTGAGGGAGTAGGATTTAACGGAACTGAGACCATATCGGAGGATGCTGGAAATTTACCGAAAAATAAACTGTCTCAAAAAAAAATTATACCTCAGACTGTTGAATACAAAGAAATTGTGTTGCACGTTTTTATAAATTTGTTTTAAATCATAGTTTTATTTTTTTTTAAAACATATATGTTTTTGCAGCTGCACAGATACCCATCTTCGAACATTCAAACGGTCGGTCCCTCAGCTACATGCTTTAATATAGTGTCTACATTGAGTAATGAGCGTGCTACGTCTATCCGTCAAGACCATTATGAATGGTTATTTCAAGATTTGAAAGTAAATAATAATTAGTGGATGCATTTCCCGCAATAGTCGAGGGGTGGTGTTAACAAACTTGCCGATCACGACGCATATAGTTAAGCACAGGCAGAACAGGAACAGTTCTTGATTAGAGATGACACATATTGTGGACTGATCCGGAGATTGAATGCATTGGAAACAAAGCAACAGACTCCTACGAACCTAATCAAACTCCTACGCTGAAAACCTTTCGAGGGGGCAAGACTCGGATTTCGGCTCGTCATAGCTCGGCTCCATGTGTTAGCGAGGCACATCAGTACAATGTCTGTCTCATCAACCTGCCCGCACTGATGTCCACATACCTTGATGTCGTTCATTGGTAATAATGACTTGCAGTCTTGGTTACATAGATGGAGTTTTCATCGATATGTGTAAAGATGGGTAATTACAGTGTTGTGTAAGAATCGATACAATGACAGTTGGGTGTTGTCCATGGTTCGGATGAAGTATTGTTTTTCAATTGCTGCCATGTGAACATAGTCATTGTTTTGTCACGAAACACAATTTCATGTTGATGGCTTGACGTGAGCCAGTGATTACACCACCCATTAAACACATGTAGTGTGTGGACTGCTCTGCAATAACCCAACGTCAACACCAGACAAATCTAAACAAACAGAGATAGCCATGTGCCAGCTGCACCCGACGCAGAAAACGTCAATTACGGATATTAAACATAACCAATATGATATTGCACCAGGAAGTAATCGTTTTAGTGATCCATGGCAACAACACAGAAGCTATCCGTTTTCACATTCTGTTTAACAATTTTATTTGGTTTGTGTTGCCGTTAAACAGACAACTTGACGGTTGAGTCTCTATCAGAATATTAGTGTATTGAATCATAAAATGAAAACCATCATTAAACAATAAAAAAGAACAGAGTACAGGGTGTTTATTTTATGGGGAAACCGTTATTGTGGACATTCTCTTTCTGGATAACAAACAATGCAGTTGTGTGCAGTTGGCGTAAAACCTCGCTCTCTCACAAACCAGTGTGAAGACATTGTCATGAGACACATATATTTATAGAATGTAGGAATTACTCGTGGTCTCTGCGACCTCTTAATCTGTGAATTTTATGTAACTCAAGGTGCGTTTAACATGAGGTCACATGTTCCAATGTTTATTTACTCATAGCCAATTATATAGCCTGGCACTAATAACACTCTTAAGGACAGGTCCTATGCAGAAATGAAACGATTAAAATTCCCATGAATTTGGTTTTAAGGCAACCAAACTCTCATTCCATAATCATAGGAAATTCTACGATTCTGACAAAATAATAAGCATGTTTTTATGAATCAAATAATGATGATACCAGGTGTTCGCGAAAAGGTGAGCATATCCTGTCTCACCGGTGGTAAACATAACAAACACATGCACAGGCAAGTAAACTGTTCATCTTAGAGCACGGGAACATATGGTACACGTCAAAATAGGGAATTGCATCCGGACATAATTTTGTCACTGATGCGTCAAATTCGGAAATGTCCACCATATAAATACATATATAAAATATAATTTGATTTATTTTCCTTAAGACTTGGCTACCCACGGTATAACATTCATAGCAATTGTAACAAATAGAGGTCACAAATCCAAAACGTTGACTTTGGGACTTCAGAAAATGGCTTTGTAACATGTTTGATATATCATACGAAAACACCGCAATTTGAATACCATGTCGGTACTATGTTCGGGAAACGAACTACTGTTCATACACACAGTTATATACGATCTCACTTTTGAAGATTAGTAAAGCTATATCTTCTTCCATTGATATTTTTATATTGCGCTAAAACGTACATATTGTCGTGTTTGTTTCAGATCATCCCTGAAGACAATACATTCGGCACATCTCGCTATGACGGAAGGTTCCATTGCAAGTTCTGGCAGTTCGGCCAGTGGGTGGACGTGTACATTGACGACCTGCTCCCCACCGTGGAAGGCAAGATCCTCTTTGCCCACTCTTCAGACCCTGACGAATTCTGGGTGTCTCTTGTGGAGAAAGCTTATGCCAAGTAAGCAGTTTTATAAAGGTCTTGCTTGACGTATAACATGGCAACAAAACTCTCTATGAAACAAGACATCTATTTAATATGCGATAGGCCCCATGTTTGAAAATTTCAAATCTTGCGAAATATTGTTGACATCTGATGATGTATTCGGTCATGTTCACGGGTATATGTGAATAATCGTTGTTGCACTCAGTAGAGAGTTTTATGCCAGCTATATCACAACGGTATGTGTCATGTTTAGGCAGACCTGTTTCTGATGACAAAAACAGTGATGTACACCTCGGGGTAGGATGGAACATCGTTAACGACACATATTGTTTTGTAACCATCCGATGTTAGTGACGTCATGATAAAAGGCTGCCGGGCAAAAGACAAAGTACACTCCAATGTTTGAACGTGGTTACAAATTAAACAAACAAGAAATGGTTATTCGCTGGTGATGTATTTGATACCATAGTACACTCCAATGTTTGAACGTGGTTACAAATTAAACAAACAAGAAATGGTTATTCACTGGTGATGTATTTGATACCATAGTACACTCCAATGTTTGAACGTGGTTACAAATTAAACAAACAAGAAATGGTTATTCGCTGGTGATGTATTTGATACCATAGTACACTCCAATGTTTGAACGTGGTTACAAATTAAACAAACAAGAAATGGTTATTCTCTGGTGATGTATTTGATACCATAGTACACTCCAATGTTTGAACGTGGTTACAAATTCAACAAACAAGAAACGGTTATTCGCTGGTGATCTACTTGATACCATAGTACACTCCAATGTTTGAACGTGGTTACAAATTAAACAAACAAGAAATGGTTATTCACTGGTGATGTATTTGATACCATAGTACACTCCAATGTTTGAACGTGGTTACAAATTAAACAAACAAGAAATGGTTATTCGCTGATGATGTATTTGATACCATAGTACACTCCAATGTTTGAACGTGGTTACAAAAGAAACAAACAAGAAACGGTTATTCGCTGGAGATCTACTTGATACCATAGTACACTCCAATGTTTGAATGTGGTTACAAAAGAAACAAACAAGAAACGGTTATTCGCTGGTGATCTACTTGATACCATAGTACACTCCAATGTTTGAACGTGGTTACAAAAGAAACAAACAAGAAACGGTTATTCGCAGGTGATCTACTTGATACCACAGTACACTCCAATGTTTGAATGTGGTTACAAATTAAACAAACAAGAAATGGTTATTCGCTGGTGATGTATTTGATACCATAGTACACTCCAATGTTTGAATGTGGTTACAAATTAAACAAACAAGAAATGGTTATTCGCTGGTGATGTATTTGATACCATAGTACACTCCAATGTTTGAATGTGGTTACAAATTAAACAAACAAGAAATGGTTATTCGCTGGTGATGTATTTGATACCATAGTTGTGTTTTGGACCTTAATTGTGCTGTGTTTTCATCCTGGTAACATTTAGATAACGTTTATAATGTTTTGGTCAAATCTAATATTCAAGTATATATTGAAATATATACACAGTTGATCTATTGCTTAGTTTTATTTGGTCTCCATTGTATGTATATAGTTTGGGGCAAACCTATTTTAAGAAAAAAGGTTACATTAGGTTAAACATGTCACAACGTAATGGTTCATTACAGGATGAACCAGTCCTATGAGGCTCTGGAGTATGGGTTCGAAGCCGACGCCTTCACCGACCTGACTGGGGGTTTGGCCGAGTGGTACAATCCTTCTGATCTCCGCGAACACGAGTTTTATCTCATCCGGGCTGCTTTCCAGTGCGGTGCTGTGATTGGTTGTCTCAGTGTTGTAAGTCACCAGTCTCATGGAGCAAATAGGTTGTACATTGATAAAAAAAACTGTAACGATTCACTTCGTGTCGCGAAATACACGATACGATAAATGAAAACTTGACACTTGACCCATTAAGGAAATATTTCGTTCATTCATGAATATTAATAGAAGCCGAACGGAAACACATTTAGCAGATACGAGATATTTTATAAAACAGTGTCTTGCTATACATCATACCATTTACATGTCACCCTTACATGTACTCATATCGTGTATTTCTATAATACGTCACAGAATATCGCCATTATAGATTGTACGGTGAATCGCGACACTTCTAGCGTTGGCAGGTTACACGTGAAGATCCGGGTTAGAATACAATGTAGGTCTTCAGTAACCCATGCTTGTCGTAAGAGGCGACTAATGAAATCGGGTGCTCAGGCTCGCTGACTTGATTGATGCATGTCTTCGTATCCCAATTGCGTAGGTCGATGCTCATGACATCAATCACTGGATTGTCTGGTCCAGTCTCGATTATTTACAGACCGCCGTCATAAAGCTGAAATATTGCTGAATGCGGCGTTGAACAACTAACAAACAAGGTCACATGTAAGCATACGACCGTAGATCGATTTCAATAACAAATTACGCCAAGTATTTGATTGAATGTATTTGATTAAATTTTTACTTTATTTATTGCTAACTTGTCGTGACTGTACTACAGGACAAGGAAGAGCGGGCTGAGCAGGACCGGAAGGGGATGATATCCAACCATTCTTACGTCATAACCGGTGTGGAGGAAATACCTCACCAAGACTCAACAGCCAAACTGATCCGGGTCCGAAATCCCTGGGGGGACACCGAATGGGAGGGAGCCTGGTGTGACGGGTTAGTGTTCAGAACAGAGATTTGTCATTACTAATAATTAAAAAATATCGATTCCTCTAAAGCAACACACAGATATTAGAAAAAGAAATAATCGGTTGCCCATAACACTAGTTTGTCTGTTATTATTGACAATAAACAATCGATACAAATGTTTTCAAGAGAGATTACTACGCAATGGCTAATGCTGGGTGCAATTGATAAACGTCAACGGTCGGTGAACCACTGCTTGGGACACATAATTCAATTCTACTAATGAGAAACAACGTGTAGCTATTGATAATAATATATAATAATCAATAGAAGTGTATTCCGATAGAAACTCATCATGTATCTTATAGCTGGTGATAGTCAATAGAAGTGTACACCGAGGAAGCTACAACGCGTGTCTATAGCTAGTGATAGTCAATGGAAGTGTACACCGAGGAAGATACAACGCGTGTCTATAGCTGGTGATAGTCAATAGAAGTGTACACCGAGGAAGCTACAACGCGTGTCTATAGCTGGTGATAGTCAATAGAAGTGTACACCGAGGAAGCTACAACGCGTGTCTATAGCTGGTGATAGTCAATAGAAGTGTACACCGAGGAAGCTACAACGCGTGTCTATAGCTGGTGATAGTCAGTAGAAGTGTACACCGAGGAAGCTACAACGCGTGTCTATAGCTAGTGATCGTCAATGGAAGTGTACACCGAGGAAGATACAACGCGTGTCTATAGCTGGTGATAGTCAATAGAAGTGTACACCGAGGAAGCTACAACGCGTGTCTATAGCTGGTGATAGTCAATAGAAGTGTACACCGAGGAAGCTACAACGCGTGTCTATAGCTGGTGATAGTCAATAGAAGTGTACACCGAGGAAGCTACAACGCGTGTCTATAGCTGGTGATAGTCAGTAGAAGTGTACACCGAGGAAGCTACAACGCGTGTCTATAGCTAGTGATCGTCAATGGAAGTGTACACCGAGGAAGCTACAACGCGTATCCATTGCTAATGTTAATCAATACAGCTGTATTTTGAACCGCAAAGTATACACCTATGGATAGCCAGCCAATGCAAGTTTACCGCTGAATAATAATGTCATGTGTGTGGTAAGCGGAGTGTGTCGATATGGGGTAGAAAAAGTACGCGTTTTTGTACTTGTGAAGTGAGCACTGATCAAATCATTTCAGTATACATTGACTCTATTTTTCAGGAATTAGCAAAAATAAATAGCCTATCTCTTTACCAATGCAATCATCACCCGTATTGTCTAACGAGCTGCAAAGTGCTGTTTAGAGTTGCGTCCCTTAGTCGTGCCAGAATGCTATGATCGTGAGTTCGAATCTGATTATGTTTGTCCGGGTTCGTGGTAAAAACAAAGAACTGTATAACTTGTGCTTTCCTCCTACATCAAAGTTTCAAGCCATGATAAAACGTATATACTGTTTACAAAGCAGCGTTATGTGCAACTTATTTATTATTTTAAACGCGCGTGTTAACAATGATAAGAATGCTAGTGTCTGCTCTAACGACGCCCAGCTGTGTCGCCGCTCCCGTTTGCCCTATAGTAATTGGCGTTGAGAGATTTACATGTACCCGACGCTCTCCCAGTTCCACTTCCTTATAATCAGCATGATGACGCTCAATTTCCCACCTTCACATTCTCCATTGAGCCAGGGTTATAACCAATCTTCATCCATCGACGCGAAGCAGGTGTGGTATTAAACGTGTAATTAGAACTCACTGTATCCCGAGATCGATAACGGCAGACATGCATGCTTGACATGACGACGATAACTTGATAAGAAGTGATATGCGCAAAACAACGCTCCAGTAGCAGAATGACGTCTCCAGACCCGGTCATGGTGTGATTAAAAGGTCAGAATGTCGTAAGCTGCTTATATAGGTTATTATCGTGACTTGGCCTCATGTGTGTTGTTGACTGTGTATATTTCAGTACGAGGAGGCAAATGATACACGACTGGAGCTTTTTCACAATACAATATAACATCTCCTGATTAGACCATTCTTCAAGTAGAAACCCCACGATCCGACGTATTAGAATAGCGTCTAAGATATATAGGCAAGATCATCATCGTGTTATGAAAGGCTGAGAGAGGGATGCGTAGGCCGTTTTTTCACATTGGGATATTTAAGATATGTAGAGTATACTTGGCTTTTCTGGTTAAATAACAAGTCTATCTCATCGAGTGACCTGACAATATTGATATATTCATGCCATGAGAGCAAATCATAGGCGATATAAACATGTTATTTGACAAGAAATAGCTAATATTCGTTTATACAGTATATTTTCCTACTGATCTTCACGATCTCACTCTTAAAACTATTGTGGCACCGAAGGAGAGTGAAAGTTTTTCAGGCACTAAGTGTTATTTCTCTCGAGTGAGATATCAATTTTCCCCCAGATAAATGCAGTATTTCATGACTAACTACATAAAAAAATGTTTTATTTAGTCGTAGGCTAATCAGTAACGTTATGCAACAGCAAAATGGACTCTAAGGCTGCATTAAATTGAGACTCGTTCATGAATCAGCCGCTTTTTTTATTTAAGTGTCGTCGAAGGCGCCGCAACATGCATGGTATCATGGTGGGTTCGAATCCCGGTTCTCCCCGAATGTGTTTTTAGGTTTGACAGCACCTACCCGTGGTCGTGGGTTTCACCAAAATCATAAACGTCTGAGACCTGCATCACTTCGGTGTTTCCTCCCACATTAAGCTGACAACTGTTATATAACTGGAATACTGTTTAAAGCGGCGTTAATCCCAACTCACTCACTCTCTAAAATCCCGTATATTATTGTGCTCTTTACGTCTTTCATATGACCGGAAAAAATTCGAGTTTTTCTGAAAATGATGAGATTCTCTGGGCTAATTTTATATTAAATTATATTAAAAGATTCTTAAATTATAATATTTTAAATATCTTACAATATATTCATTTCGGGGACTTCGTGTTAGTATTCATCCTCGGTAATTGGTAACTATAATAAATTGAATTAATATACCTTAAAATCTTTAGTGAGGCGGGTTCCTCAACAAAATATACATATCTAAATTTACACAATGTATAGTAGACGACACAGTGTGTATATGCGAATGAAATCATTTCTGAACAAGTTCCCCTGAACCTACTCTCTCACGCGGTTCTAAAAGTGGTAGAAAAACTGGGACATTGCACTCTATTCTCCTATTTGGCAAAATATTTGACAACATCGTAAAGAACGGATTCTGCCCTTCTCAACAGGATATGACTGCGCTAGTGTTGCGCCCGTGATATGATCAAATGATTGAGGGTTCGAATACCAGATTAGACATAATTATGATCCTTGGTTTGACACCATAATACCTGGACTCGTTACGCAACTAAAAGAACCCTTCAAAACGCCTTTCAACCCACCCACCTACTGACTAACTGTATCAACACCTTTTGTTTCATTTGGATTGAGTCACCATCAATCTGTTTTGTTTGTTTGTTTGCTTCTTGTTTAACGCCACACTGAGCAATATTCCAGCTATATGACGGCGGTTTGTAAATACACGAGTTTGGACCAGACAATCCAGTGATTGATGTCAGGGACATCGATTCACGCAATTGGTATACGATGACATGCATTAACCAAGTCAGCGAGCCTGACCACCTGATCCCGTTAGTCGCCTCTTACGACATGCATAATAGCTTTTTACGGCAAGCATGGGTTCCTGAAGACCTATTCTACCCCGGATCTTCACGGGTCCATCAGTCTGTTATTGCACTTCTTTCCATTAGCCCGATCTTCGATAATAGCCTGTATGTGTGTTTCTAGATTAGTACATTACCATGCTCATCACCATTTCACTATACACACCTACATTTCAGAGGTGATGAGTGGAATCGTGTACCCGATGACGTCAAGCTGGAACTGGAACTGACGTCACAGGATGACGGGGAATTCTGGATGTCTTTTCAGGACTTCCGGCGAGAGTATTGTAACATGATCATCTGTAATTTATCCCCTGACTTCGACCACGACGGCATCAGTGATAAAGCAGGTTCGAACAATCAGCTGTTGTTTCATTAGCTTGTTGGTTATTTCAGGCTTAAGTTGTGACCGACATAAACACAATATGTGTGTGCTTACATTGTATTTACACGCAAGGCGTATGCTCCAAACGCTAACATTAAACTCCGGTCAATCTGTGTGCACTCAATGTTCATTCTCATTTCCCTGGAGAGTAAACAGTAAACTACGGTTATAACGAACTCAAAGGGGCCATTAATTTTAATTCGTTATAACCGTAGTTCGTTATAAGCATATGTACAACATTATTTCGTTATATCCGGAAGTTCGTTATTAGCGTGTTCGTTATAAACGTAGTTTTACAGTATACCAGTATACCTTAACAGGCGCTAGAAGCATACCAGTCACAATACCATCTCATCTCAACCCGTTCACTGCTGGGTGAACAGAGGCATATTTCGAACAGTCACTTGCCGAAAGGCAATATCACATGTGCTTCAGTGTGGGGCATGACGGAAGCCCTAGAAAGAGGGTTATCTATTTCCTAAATATTCCTTTAAGCTGTTCTTGTATTTTACAACCTTCGTCTATTATCACTATCACTATATATGTTGTAACAGAGTATCAGAGGTACATGAAAGGACAATGGCGGAGCGGTGTTAACGCAGGAGGGTGGCTGGAGTGCGAGTCGTTTAATACCAACCCCCAGTATCTTCTCACCATGTACTCCGATGGTAGGTAGACTGTACCAAGTCACAGCCTGGTTCCCTGGGCAGTGTAGCGCCCGCGCAGCATACCCAGGGACCAGGTTTAACAGGTGTTCGTACGTAAGTGTGCTTGTATTCGCGTTTGCGTGATGCGTTTCTGTTTTCTATGGAAAAGGATTTTTTGTACAGATAAATGAGATAAATTAAATATTGTTACATATTTCACTCGGTACCAGAATGAATGTATCCCTACTAACTTGGAACACGACTTTAGTTATGCTGATATGCGTTAGCCAGATTTTAAGTGTATCTGGGATGTTATGTTACTTTCGACAATGTTCACTAAGATAACGAAACCACTGAAAACCTGTCTCACCAATCCGCAAATTACCCAACCTCAATTCTCACAAGAAGCGGCGGTAAAATGGCCAACACATGTTACCATTTGAAACATGTAAACTCGAAACCAATTCTGATTTTGTAAAATACACATGTAAGTGCGAATGTTTCCGTTGGTCGACTTTCCTTACAATGCACAACATACCACAGACAAGCGGTTGGTGCCAGATTAAACAAATATTTCAAAGCTAATTTTGTTAGAGATTTTTTCAGAGATTTCCATACTGACTCGTAGAGACAAGGTGCGGAATTTTCAAAGTCCTTTTTGGTAACGCGCCATTTTCAACATAATATCAACATATTAACGACATCACTACAGGTTGCGACAGGCCACTGAATCTTTACTCATCACAACATCGGAAATTTTCTTTGGGTTAATAATACGACACACCCGTGAAGATCCGGGTCTTCAGCATCCCATGCTTGCCGTAAGAGGCCAGGGTCAGCGAGCCTGACCACCCGATCCCGTTAGTCGCCTTTTACGACAAGCATAGTCACCTTTTACGGCAAGCATGGGTTGCTGAAGATCTATTCTACCCCGGAATCTTCACCGGTCAGGTGCTACAAAGTATGCAAATAGAAACATATCACGTGATTATGTTCATGATTGTACATAAATTGTACTTGAATTTAAATTTTACTGAGTATTTCGGGAATGTGAACAGCATTAAGAACTACTAAGTCCTTATCACTTCATCAGCACATTCCAGCTGTCTGTCTCATCTAAACTTGTACTCTTGAATTATGAATTGTAATGTTAAGATCTTCAACTGACTGGTGCATGTCGAATGTGGTTAGATATTATAGGATATCACTAGGGAGATCGTGCGATGTGTGACTGTACATTATGTCAGGAGGAATAGAATTAAAGGCGACTTCTTGTCGATAAGACGAGCGTGTGTTGTTCAGTGAACTCTTACTTCTCGTCTCACAGCGAGCGTGCAGAGGCGGTACTCCGGTCGTCTCCCCTTGGCTGTGGCGCTACTTCAAGTCTACCGCCGCCAGGAGACGCTGGAGGGAGGCGAGATACATGCGGTTGGGTTTGAAATATTCCAGGTAAAACATAAATTACTAATGAAGGTAGCACGAAAAAGCTTCTTTCGAACATTTCAGCTCCATCCCACTTACCACACCCACACAAGTTTGACATTATGCAGTGTCATGAGTGTGGATTGTCAATGCTTCTTATTCGAATGAAGCTTTGTCTTCTTTGGATGATATTCGGAAGCAAAGATTAAATATCAGTGGTAAAACATTACAGTAATTCAAATATCTAGACAAATTTCTACATATTGTGAAAAATAGATAAAGAAGCTCACCGAGTGTCTTTTGATGGCAAATATGTCAAAGGGAGTCTATAAAACTTTAGAACGTGTATGGACGAGTGTTGAAAAAATTGATACAAGGACGAGTGTTGAAAAAAATGATATAAGGACGAGTGTTGATAAAATTGATATCAATACACACGTGGGCAAGATTCTATTTATTATCCAAAATCATTCATCAGTTTGTCAACAGTAATTAGTAGTGTCTTTTGTGTAGATAATCAGCTTCTCCCTACCCAACACACAGGGCATTTCACCACCCCTTAAATTGCGACTTAAAAAAGTAATTACGATTTTGCAACATCTTAAAAATATAGGCAAAACTTGAAAAAAAAGTATTTTTGAAATCTACGAGACCGCAGTTTTAAGCGAAGAAACACGCAGTGTTTTACCTTTTCTGCCAAGTGAAATATTTATTTGGTTTTGTATTCACATATCTTACTTTGCCAATTATTTTCTCCTTGCCTGATACGGCTTGCGAAAGAATGCGCGGAATCCACTTTATTCATTGAGTGATATTAACATCTTAATAGCAAATACCAAAGAACAATTATCAGTTTAGAATTTGAGTGTTTTGTTCCTGAGCGGGAACCAGTACGTATGCTTGCAAGTCCGGGAGTTCACCATGAGGGATGATTTTATGTGCGCATCAGATGTTTTACTCCACAATTAATATGGGTGCAAATACGTTTTTTTTTATCCAGAAATGGTGGTGAATTTGCTGGAAAAGATGTACTCTATACTGTCAGTAAAATAAAAAAAATATCAGTATATAGGATAGTCACGTGATAAATCACTAAGAACAATGAAGAATGAATCCTGCTTTATTTCACGAAAAAACATTGTTTTATAATGGAGTCATTTCTTGAGATTCGAACATGCGGTCGCAATTGATGACGTGGTAAATTGGACGACGTTATTCTTGAGAGGGTAGTATGTTGTTCCCCATAGTTGTATCCGGACACCGCAGATAAACGCAATGACCGAACGATCGCATCCAAAAGTGGGAGAGATATCATAATCGGTATGAGGAGCAAATGTACAGAGAGTCGACGTGAATAATGTGAGAATATCTGGGAAATCCCACAAAAACGTTCCGAACGTATCTATCGCCTGCACTTCCGGTATCTACGGACAAAACGCCTTGCATAGAAATATCGTTTTCGACCGTCTTCATCGTCATGTCTGAAAATGAGCACTTCCCTCTGTTCGATTATTATTCATCAAGACTATAACGCGCCTTTTACGCCAAATGGAATCTTTTTCAATGGACAATCGAGACTGGTTATTCTCTGGCGTTGACGTTTTATATTGTACAAATGAACCAATGTGCGGATCCTTGATTAATCAGTGTCCATAATTCCAGTCTTTTCTGATAAACACCCTGGGCCAAATCGCGTGGGAAGTGACATCAGCATCTTTAATGCATTTATCAGTTATTCCTAACAGTTTCTCTCGCATGTCCGTGTAGTTTGATTGGACGGACACTTCCCTGGTAAGGAATTACAATATAATAAAACACACGGTACCTAGAGAACAACGTCTATGTTCACTCTGTCACTCCCCAGCAATAGCAGATGAATTCTATATATTTCGATGTAAAGCTTTTGATAACAAAAGACTTTCACTTATTCCTAGGAGATATTTAACTTGGTCAAATGTGTTTTCATTAAAAAGCCTATTTTCAACGACCAAACTAAACGAGCTAAAACGTCTATCAAAATATGTATTATTTGTATTTACCACTTTGAATGCTAAATATAAATGCACATAGCCTTCTTGATGTACATCCTATATAATGTATCTCTGCACTTTATGTAGGCTCTTGTACCACCGTCGGTGGTCTATGGAGAAATAAAGAATCTGAATCTGAGTAAAAGAGGATATAGTGTGCGTGGCTGTTGTTTCAGTTACGAGAGAGACCGACTGCTGCTCTATGTCAGGATTTCTTCCAATCCTCGGATCCCCTCATGCCGGAAAATGAAGAAACCTACGCAGAATACCGCGAGACATCCGGGCGATTCTTCCTCGATCCGGGCGAGTACCTGCTTGTTCCAAGTACACATCAACCCAACAAGTCACGTGATTACCTGCTGCGTATATTTTCCGTCAGTAAAATGGAATGCAGGTAAGCTACATGTTTCCATCAAAGCTGTTAATATTTCGTGGGTATTTTACAGTTACAGCTGTAACATTTGGTGTTTTTCCGTATGGTGTTTCTGTAATATAAATCTGGACATGTTTCAGCCCCCTGGCACACTGTATACCCATGGACACGTGAGCACACGACAGTGTCGACAACACAGGACATCAGTGTAAAACCTTGATGAATTTGTGGCAACTCGAAGCGCCCCTAGAACAGACTTGCTTGGTATTTCCTCGAGTATGTATGAAATTCAGGTTTAACACTCAGGTGTCCAACACACGTCTATGTTTGGTCGAGAAGTTTGTTTCTTGGAAGAATACCTATGACGCAGACAAAACAATAAGGAGACAATCCGAATTATTTCATGATGCTTGTGGGTTGTATCACCTTTTATGGTCACCCAGACCGCTTGATTCTTTCGGCTTGTTCCATTACCTACATATGATGGGATTGATGTGAGCTGAGTGTACAAAAATGGGGTCTACTGCTCGAAGACAATCTCTGTTGAAGGCATTATATATTGACATGACTGGCAACATTGCCATGGATGAAAGTTTGCATATCAAGGACCTTTCTGCCTTATATATCTCAGGATGTTTAAAGATGTCTTTTGAAGAAGTCATATGGAAATCGGACTGTTTGTTTATGGACCTCTGTATGATAAGGGCCTAACCTTGCTAACGTCATGGTATTTTCCTGAATTTGTAATTAATCAACATTTGATATATCTGAACGTCAGCCATATAGAAAAGGAAGAGAATAATGCGAATGTCTCACTTATACAAAAAATACCCTTTAGATTTGAAAATGAGTTCAGCATTTAAATATTTGTCCATCATGGGCGACAGCCGTAACGTAAAACATCCAAATTATGTCAGTCTACGTATAACAACGCTTGAAGTCAAGGTTAACGGCTTTTAACTTCAAACTATATCACGGCCATCTTATTTGAAATCTCATCAGGATAAACTGGAATCAACTGCGTGTTAACCAGCCCATTTCAAGCCTGGTATTCGTTCTTTGTGAATCCAAATGTTTAATAATGTAATCTTTTACTTTTTGATGAAATGAATTGTATTTAACGTTATTACTCTCGCATAAATCAAGTGTTCAAGTGTACAATCATATCCTGTATCTTGCCATGTAAATACAATTGACATGTCCGACAATTTGTATGTAGTGTACATGTTTACATTTCTTGTTTACTTATCTTACTTCTACCACTCAACCATCACCACATTTACTATTTCACATCTATCACAACACACTGGTGTTACTAAAGTCTTCTTTTGCGTGATTGACTAAGTAGCCTCTCTTAAATATTCCTTCCCAAAATGACGCTGCTACTTCCCCACTTTTAATCAACCACAAGTTTCTATCTGGTTTTATTAATATGCACATGATCCGTCCGTCATTTCCAGAATAGAAAAACACTTGCATTTATAAAATCTTCATAAAATCGTGAACTAACACAGCTAGGAACGTTCCAGGCATCAGTTACATTCGTTTCTGGAATAGCACTCAAAACATCATCATGAAATCGTAAAAACATATTTAAAAGGTTTTGGTTTTTCTTAATAATATTCGTTTCTAATGAATCACAAAAGATATACAAAGATATAATTTATTGTATTTTTCTTGAACGCAAGTGTTCCATGGTCGTACCGTTTGCAATTTAGATAGGAAACGTCAACGCCAGGGTGTTACCATTTTCGATTATCCATCGATTGCACTGGACGTAAGAGTGAGTGAGTGAGTTGGGTTTTACGCCGCTTTTAACAGTATTCCAGTTATATCACGGCCTGTCAGCTTAATGTGGGAGGAAAGCCCGAAGTGATGCAGGTCTCAGACGTTTACCACTTCGGTGAAACCCACGAGCACGGGTATGGTGCTGACAAACCTAGAAACATAATCGGGGCGAACCGGGATTCGAACCCACAATCATAGGTTTCTGGCGTGCCCAAGGGACGCAACTCTGCACAGCGAATCGCGGCGCCTTAGACGACTGGGCCACCCGTGCCCCCCTGGACGTAAGAGGCAAAATAGCGGTGTAATTATGTGACTGGATCACAGAAAATTTCTCTCTCTCTTTCTCTCTCTCTCTGTGTATCTCTTTTAAGTAGATGTCTTTCGATCGGATATCTATATTGTATAGCAAACACACTTATCTGCGATTCAAGGATGATTGATGGCAACACCTACTATAGTACATAACCTAATGTTGTAAAATTTGGAATACTTCTGTTCAAAACTTTCAGCTGATGGAGATAAGGACTACACGACTATTTTTGTCACTGTCACATCTGCAGATTCGGGTTTCACCATTGCGTTCACGATCCTCCGACATATCTCTTACATACAGCTACCACATGGCAGACCTGGTTTATGTGAAGGAGTTTCTTGTCACCGCTCTCTGTGATGTCGCTTCAATATTAACAGATTACAATATTATCCATAAATGATCTCTACATTGTCAATATTAACATAGTCTTTCATAAAGAAAATCATACACATTAACACACAAAGAACACACCAAAACAACGTTGCGAGAAGTTTTGGTATCTGTAATTCATTGTTGGAGCACTCGTAAAATATCCCAATCCGCCCATGCGGTAGACTGTCGTACTTGGGCAGTGATACAGTATTGTGAAGACCTTCTGTGGAATACAATAACACATAACACATAAGCCTTAAATACATCATGGGAATGTTGTAATAGCGAGATTTAAAACAATGAAAACTATAATCGATTCAAAGTTGCATTGGGTAAACATGAATTTTTTTAAAAATCTTCAGTCTTGTATCCTTCGATTTAACTTTTTGTCGCCTTCTTTATTGTCAACTGCCAGATAAAAGAAAGTATACACCCATGTTTGCCGGTGGCTAAACATTAAACAAATAAGAAATTGTTACTTGTATTCAATGGTGATATATTTGATATGGTATCATAGTTGTGTTTTGGATTGTTCGGGGACTGTTTTCAGCCTAGTAACGTTTTGATAACGTTTGTAACATTTTGGTCAAATCCAATTTTCTAGTGTATACTTCCTTTTGCCCGGTGGTGTATATCATGTTTTAAATGTAAATATCTTCATATTACCCTACACTTTGATCGTTGAACATTATGATAATAAACACTTTTCTATCAGAATTGATGACGCGTCTTAGTTCTGTTCTAATGAGGAGCGGAGGAAACCGATTTGGATCGCTCGTCTTCTGGTTAAAACCTCGTTACGTCTGCACAGAACAACGAGTGCACATGACAATGATTCATTGTTGTACAAACTCAACATGAACAATGTGACGAAGCGGGAGGAGGTCGACTGCGTGTATCTCCTTACAATGAGAAGGCCAGAAAGCTGCGGACGCATATTTAAACACTGATATCCCCTGCGCTTTCTTATCCATGGCATTTCAAGTATACATGACAGCTTGTATACTCAATAGCTGAAGTGATCATTCATTTTCCATAGGGTAGTAAAGATTGATGTGATAGATCTTCATTAGTGTAACGAGATGGTACTGTTTGACATTAACGAGAACGATGTTTCAAAAGCACACCAACGCCAGATATATACCAGCAGTAGAACATACACTTAGACTAAAGAGCGTTCAAGCTTTGCAATGGCGTAAAATTTTGTTTGTTTGTTGTTGAACTCAATATAGCAAGATTCGAGCTATATAAAAGTTGGTTGTAAGCATCGTGAGTATGAGTGAGTATGGTTTTACGCCGCTTTTAGCAATATTCCAGCAATATAACGACGGGGGACACCAGAAATGGGCTTCACACATTGTGCCCATGTGCCCATCGAACCCGGGTCTTCAGCACGACGAACGAACGCTTTAACCACTAGGCTACCCCACCGCCCTGTAAAATCTAGACCAGACAATGTAGTGACTGACCTGATAGTCCTCGATCCACGCATTTGGGATACGATGACCTCCTATCGGCCAAGTCACCAAGCCTTGACCACCCGTTCCAATTACTCGCCTCTTACGACAAGCATGTTTTGCCGTGGACCAATATTCTTACCCGGAATCTTCATGAACATCGAATGCAAAAAGAAGTCATATGCAGACCTGCTCGTGTGTGTAAGTGGGCGAGGTGTATTTGGTGACATGTAAAGAATCGAGTTAGGGTCATGCAAAAATAAAACGTCAACGTCATTCTCGATTGTTTTCGGAAACAGATATCATTGGGGTAAAAGGCAAAATAGTGGTAAAATTTAAACTAAAGTGAGTGAGTGAACTGGATTTAACGCCGCATTTAACAGTATTCCAGTTATATCACGGCGTGTCAGCTTAATACAATAAAAGGATTACAAAAAAATAGTGATGACACCAGGTGTTCGCGAAAAGGGTAAGCATGTCCTGTCAATCAAATTGGATACAGATGCAACCATCAGATAGTTATATCAAAATGACCAGGCTCCACGCATTTGGTTGGCTGGTTGGTTTGTTGTTTAACGCCGCACTCAGCAATATTCCAGCTATATGACGGCAGTCTGTAAATAATCGAGTCTGGACCAGACAATCCATTGATTAATATCATGAGCATTTGGGATCGATGGCGTGCATCAACCAAGTAAGCGAGCCTGACCACCCGATCCCGTTAGTCGCCTCTTACAGCAAGAATGGGTTGCTGAAGACCTGTTCTTCCCCTGATCTTCACGGGTCTCCACGTATTTGGGCTACGATGACAGGACATACGCTGACCTGACGATTTCCATGTCTGTGGGCTCTAACCTATTGGTGAATGAGTGGTCTATTGTTCCTAGAAATCCCAAACGGCGTGCTTATGTGGATCGCATATGCAATACTATGGGGATATTTCCTGTCCGATATTTGTTTATCCCCAAGATGGATGCTATGATTGATGATCTACAAGACTAGACTATCGGAAGGTAAGATGTGGACCCAGTGGGAGAACTCTGTCATGCTTCTTCCATAGATCAGCAATGGAAAGAACCTCCCACACGGGGAAGGAAACGTTTCAATTATTTGTGCAGTGCTGTCTAACACCCCCAAGAAACAATACAGTGCCGTCAGTTCGGCTCTTACTGGCTGCCATTTAAAGCGGAGAACTTTGCAGCTGTGCTTTTTGATTGCTGCAGATATAGTCTGTGCTCTGTAGGGTTGCAGAAGCAGGTGATGGGAAGACGTTATCAACGTTACAAGTCTTTGCTGGTTCAAATATTAATTCCCCAGCACAAATCCCGAGGATTACATCAACGATAATCATTAGAATTCCTTCATTGCTGTGTATAGGATCACAGATATGCCAGCGATTGTCCCCAGCGACGTTTGATGGGGATATGTCAGGGTGAATCTGAAACCATGATACCACATATATGGATAAGTAAGACAAGTTATTATGCAGATATTAATGAAACTGATCTAAAATAACAATTATTTGTTAGATTTTTATAAAAGAAACTACACCTTATCCGGATTAGCCTCTAATATTTAGTTTTGCCACCCACTTCAAAGATTACATTGTCGCAACCTGTATCGGCGGGAGTCCCGCTTCCTCCCTGATATTGTGATTCATCACGACCCCACAAGCCGCAGAACCAACAGCCATCTCAACAAGACTGTCCAGAGAGCACAGCCCAACATCTTTGCCCTGATCCGAGTCCTCCAGAATCTAGGGAAATCAGACAGAAACAAGCTGGCTCACTCAGTATCTGAATGGTGCCGACCTCCTTCTAGCAAGATGATGTACAAGGAGCAGGGCCAGAGACTGAAGGACCAGTTGTCAACAGGGTTCAAATCACTGCTTGAGTCATATGCAGCAGGGCATTTGATAAATTTGGATTAAATCAGTGCCTGGGACGTTAGGGCACACGTGTACTGTCTGTTACGTTTTCCTGTTCAAACTAATATATTGTCTCCTCTATTATGTATTAGACCGCCTCCGTGGTAGAGTGAATAGGGCGTCTACTAGGAGAGCGGAAGGTCGGGGTAGTACTGTTGGCGAAAGTAGACGACGTCCAAAGTGTTAAGTGTTCGGTTCTCTGCCGAAATTGACATCGATGGCTTGTAGATAAACGTTTTACTTTATAGATATATATTTATCTTACAATGGATAGTGTTGTGGGTGCGATAAACCAATCCGATAAAATTGATATCTTTTTTCGATAAATATGTAAATACGCAAATCGCCTATCGGAAACTACTTTCAAGCAAACTACTTTTAATGCAGTGCCTTGAAGTTCTTTCACAATAAACTATTGACTAAAGTTTCCAATATGCGTATATAGGGTTTGTCTAATGTGTCACCGAAACATTGCAATAAACACGGCTGCAAGTCTAAAATGTATTCATATGCTTCTTTGTTTATTTGTTCGTTTTGTTTGTTTGCTGTTTAAGGCCGCACGCGGCAATATTCCAGCTATATGACGGCAGTCTGTAAATATTCGAGTCTGAACCAGACAATCAAGTGATTGATATCATGGGCATCGATCCACGCCATTGGGATACGATGACATTTCTATCAAGTCAGCGAGCCTGACCACCCGATCCCGTTAGTCGTCTCTTACAACAAGCATTGTCGACTTTTACGGCAAGCAATGGGTTGCTGAAGACCTATTCTACCCCGGATCTTCACGGGTCAATAGCTTCTTCATTGAGTTAATTACATGATCTTAAAGATACATTGTAAGAATATCATTATATCACGAGAATGAGATTAGAAACCTCATGTGTTTCTGTATCGTAAATATTAGGAATAAAAAAGATATACATGTACAGTAAACTACGGTTATAACGAACACGCTTATAACGAACTAACGGATATAACAAACTAACTTTTTAGTCCCGACTACCTGCTGTAGTTATACTGTATATATGC